ATATATATGCAATTATGTATAACATTTCCATATTAGTCATTTTGTACAAGAAGACCCAAATAAAAGAAAAAAATGAAAGAAAGTTAAAAACAGCATGCTTCAATTTGTATTTAATCAGTATCAGTTCTTTGTCTGGAGGCAGATAGTATACTTCATCATTTGTCCTTTGGGATTGTCCTAGATCATTGTATTGCTGAGAATAGCTAAGTTATTCACAGTTCTTCATCAAACAATGTTCTCTGATTTCTGTTCACTTCACTGTGCATCAGTTCATGTAAGCCTTTGCAGGTTTTTCTGAAATCATCCTACTTGTCATTTCTTACAGCACAATAATATTCCATTACAATCATATACCACAGCTTGTTTAGCCATTCCCCAATCGATAGGCATCCCTTTGATTTCATATGCTTAGCCACTGCAAAAAGAGCTGCTATAAATATTTTGGTACAAACTGGTCCTTTTCCCTTTTGTCGGATGTCTTTGGGATATAGACCTAGCAGTGGTATTGTTGGATCAAAGGGTATGCACAGCTTTATAGCCCTTTGGGCATAGTTCCAAATTGCTTTCCAGAATGGTTGGATCAGTTCACAACTCCACCAACAATGCGCTAGTGTCCCAGTTTTCCCATATCTTCTCCAACATCCAACATTTCCCTTTTTTGTCATATTAGCCAATCTTATTAGGTGTGAGGTAGTACTTCAGAGTTGTTTTAATTTGCATTTCTCTAATCAATAATGATTTAGAGCATTTTTTTCATGTGACCATAAACAGTTTTGGTTTCTTTGTCTGAAAACTGCCTGTTCATATCCTTTGACCATTTATCAACTGAGGAATGACTTATATTCTTATAAATCTGACTCAGTTCTCTATATATTTTAGAAATGGGGCATTTATCAGAGATACTTGTTACAAATGTTCCTCCCTTCCAGTTTTCTGCTTTCCATATAATTTTGGTTGCATTGGTTTTGTTTGTGCAAAAACTTTTTAATTTTATATAATCAGAATTATGTATTTTACATTTAGTAATGCTCTCTGTATCTTCTTTGGTCCTAAATTTTTCCCTTATCCATAAATCTGACAGATAAACTATTCCATGATCTCTTAATTTGCTTATGGTATCATCCTGTATGTATAAATCATGTACTCATTTTGACCTTATTGTGGTATAGAGTGTGAGGTGTTGGTCTATACCTAATTTTTGCCATACTATTTTCCAGTTTTCCCAGCAGTTTTTGTCACATAATGAGTTTTTGTTCCAAAATCTTGGATCTTTGGGTTTGCCATATACTAGATTACTATGGTTGTTTACTGTGGTATAATTTGTACCTAATCTATTCCACTGATCCACCACTTTATTTCTTGGCCAGTACTAGACTGTTTAGATAATTACTGTTTTGTAATACAGTTTGAGATCTGGTATGGCTAGACCACCTTCTTTTGCATTTTTTTCATTGATTCCCTTGATATTCTTTACCTTTTGTTCTTCTAGATGAATTTTACTATTTTTTCTAGCTCTATAAAATAATTTTTGATAGTTAGGTATGACACTGAATGAATAGATTAATTTAAATAGAATTGTTATTTTTATTTATTGGCTCAGCTTTCTCATGAGCAATTTTCCAATTTTTAAAAATTTAATATTTTTAAAAATTTAAATGTAATTAATTGGATTTAATTTAATTAATTTAAATTAAATATTTTCCAGTTGTTTAGATTTGACTTTATTTATGTGAAAAGTGTTTTGTAGTTATGTTCATGTAGTTCCTGGTTTTGTCTTAGCAGGTAGACTGCCAAGTATTTTATATTGTCTACAGCTATTTTAACTGGAATTTCTCTATCTCTTGCTGCTAGACTTTTTTTTTTGTAATATATAGAAATGCTGATGATTTATGTGGGTTTATTTTGTATCCTGCAACTTTGATAAAGTTATTAATAATTTCAAGTAGTTTTTAGTTGATTCTGTGGGATTTTCTAAGTATAGCATATAATCTGTAAAGAGTGATAATTTTGTTTTCTCATTGCCTATTCTAATTCCTTTAATTTCTCTTTCTTCCTTTATTGCTATAGCTCACATTTCTAGTACAATATTAAATAATAGAGGTAATAATGGGCATCCTTGCTTCACCCCTGATTGTATTGGGAAGGCTTCTAACTTATTCCCATTACAGATAATGCTTGCTGATAGTTTTAGATAAATAGTACCTGTCATTTTAAGGTAAGTTCCATTTATTCCCATGCTCTCTAGTGTTTTTAATAGGAATGGTTTCTGTACTTTGTCAGAGGCTTTCTCTGTTACTGATATGGTCAATTATGCTGATAGTTTTCCTAGTATTGAACCAGTCCTGTATTCCTACTATAAATCCTACCTGGTCATAGTGTATGATCCTTGTGATATATTGCTGTAATCTTTTTTTTTTTAAGATTCATTAATTTATTTATGTTTAGTTTTCAACATTCACTTCCACAAGATTTTGAGTTCCAAATTTTCTCCCCATTTCATCCCTCCCCCAACCCCAAGATGGCATGCATTCTGAATACCCTTTCCCTAATCTGCCCTCCCTTCTATCTACCTCCCCACTTCTCTTATCCCCTTCCTCTTCTGTTTTCCTGTAGGGCAGGATAGGTTTCTATACCCTATTGCCTATATATCTTATTTCCCAGTTGCATGTGAAAACAATTTTTTAACATTTGTTTTTAAAACTTTGGGCTCCAAGATTTTTCCTTCCTCCCTCCCCACCCACTATCATTGAGAAGGCAAACAACTCGATACAGGTTATACTTGTGTAGTCATGCAAAACACTTCCATAGTAGTCATGCTGTGGGAAACTATTTCCCTTCATCCTACCCTGTCCCTGGTTTATTCTATTTTCTATTTTGATCCTGTCCCTCCTCAGAAGTGTTTGCTTCTGATTACCCCCTCCTCCAAACTGCCCTCCCCTCTGTCATCCCCCTGCCCGCTCTCTTATCCTCTTCCTCCCTGTTTTCCTGTAGGGTTAGATAACTTTCCATACCCAATTGAGTGTGTATGTTATTTCCTCCTTAAGCCAAATCCTATGAGAATAAGATTCACTCATTCCCTCTCACCTTCCCCCACTTCCCCTCCACTGTAAAAGCCTTTTCTTGTCTGTTTTATGTGAGATAATTTACCTCATTCTACCTCTCCCCTCTCTCTTTCTCCCAGTACAATCCTCTCTCCCCCCTTAATTTTATTCTGCAGATAACATCCATTCATCTTCAACTCAACCTGTGCCCTCTACCTATTAATCTATCTATATATATAAATTTTTTCCCCTCCAACTACCCTCATACTGACAAAGGTCTCAATCATCTTTCCGTGTAGGAATGTAAATAGTTCAACCTTAATAAATCCCTTATGATTTCTCTTTCCTGTTTACCTCTTCATGTTTCTCTTGAGTCTTGTATTTGAAGGTCAGATTTTCTATTCAGCTCTAGTCTTTTCATCAAGAATGCTTGAAGTCCTGTATTTCACTGAATGTCCATTTTTCCACCTGAAGGATTATACTCAGTTTTGCTGGGTGAGTAATTCTTGGTTGTAATGCTATCTCCTTTGACCTCTGGAATATTATATTCCAAGCCCTATGGTCCCTTAATATAGAAGCTGCTAAATTTTGTGTTACCCTGATTATGTTTCCATAGTACTTAAATTGTTTCTTTCTGGCTACTTGAAATATTTTTTCCTTGACCTGGGAACTCTGGAATTGGGCTACAATATTCCTAGGAGTTTTCCTTTGGGGTTCTCTTTCTGGAGGTGATCAGTGGATTCTGGTTCTAGAATTTCAGGGCAGTTTTCCGTAATAATTTCTTGAAAGATGATGTCTAGGCTCTTTTTTTTGATCATGGCTTTCAGATAGTCGATTAATTTTTAAATTATCTCTCCTCGATCTATTTTCTAGGTCAGTTGTTTTTCCAATGAGATATTTCACATTGTCTTTTATTTTTTCTTTCTTTTAGTTTTGTTTTACACTGTCTTGATTTCTCATAAAGTCACTAGCTTCCAATTGCTCCATTCTAATTTAAAGAAGTATTTTCTACTTTTGGACTTCCTTTTCCATTTGGACAATTCTGCTCTTGAAGGAATTCTTCTTCTCATTGGCTTTTTGGACCTCTTTTGCCATTTGGGTTGGTCTATTTTTTAAGGTGTTATTTTCTTCAGTATTTTTTTGAGTCTCCTTTAGCAAGCTGTTGACTAGTTTTTCATGATTTTCTTGCATCATGATCATTTCTTTTCCCAGTTTTTCCTATACTTCTCTTACTTGCTTCTCAAAATCCTTTTTGAGCTCTTCCATGGCTTGGGACTGATTCACATTTTTCTTGGAGGCTTTGGATGTAGGAGCTTGGACTTTGTTGTCTTCTTCTGGTTGTATGTTTCAATCTTCTTTGTCACCAAAGAAAGATTCTGTGGTCTGACTTTTTTGTGAAGTTTGCTCATCTTTCCAGCCAATTACTTGAGTTATAAACTCTTTGTTAAGGTAGGGGTCTGCTTCCAGTGTGGAGAATGTACTATCCCAAGCTTCAGGGGGTTTGTGCAGCCATTTTCAGAAATACTTCTAGGGACCTGTAAGTTTTCAGTTCTTCCAAGGTGGTATGATCAAGGGAGAGGTGTTTACTCCTTTCCTGGCCTGTGCTCTGGTCTGTGAGTGACCACAAGCACTCTTTTCTACCTTGGAACTGTGAGGCAGATTCTCTCTCCATGGAACCTCCACCATGCCAGCACTTCTCCTTGCCCCAGGATTGCCACCTAGAACTGTGACCCAGATCCAAGCACAGGCAAAGCAAGAGAACCCTGCCTCAGCACCAGCAAAGAGATCCCTGCAATCCTCTTCTGATTAGCCACCTGATTCCTCCTTAGTCTGTGGGCCAAGAGGTCCAGACGCAGCCACCACCCACGGGTTGCACTGGGACTGGGACCTAGCTTCTCCCTAACCCCATGGCCATAGACTTTTCCTACTGACCTTCTAACTTGTCTCTGGCATTTGTAGGTTGAAAAGTCTAGAAACCTCCACAGCTGCCTTTGATTCAGTTTCCCGGGGCCAGCTCCAGGTTCACCAATGCCTACTTTTTGCCTGCATGCCCACACTGAACTGCATTTCTCTACCAGCCGGTACGATAGATCTTTCTAATCAACCATTTACATTGTCTTGGGCTGGAAATTTGTTTCCCTCTGTCTTTTTGTGGGTTCTACTGCTCTAGAATTTGTTTACAGCCATTTTTTACAGGTATCTGGAGGGGTTTGAGGGAGAGCTCAAGCAAGTCACTGCTTTTACTTCACCATCTTCGCTCCATCTCCCCTGCTGTAATCTTTTAGCAAGTATTTTTATTTGAAATTTTTGCATAAATATTTATTAGGGCATGCTCCCTTCCCACGCCACTGAGACAGACCTTTCCTGCTGTGCTGGTAAGCTGCTTTCCTGCCCCTAGATCAATTCTATGGTGGCTTTTTAGTTGTTTGGGGGGAAATTTGGGAGGGCTTCAGAGGGTTTCTTCCAAACTCTGCCATCTTGGCTCATCATATGAGAAATTCATATTTTTAAGGAGCTTACTTTTAATGAGGAAAACAAGAGGTAAAGACATACAGCATAAATGTAAAGAGAATAACTACAAATAAATTCAGAGTTGCTAAATAAAAAGAAGTAAAGGAGAAAGGGCGCTAACAATTGGAGAGAATGAAGAAAGGATCCATATAGCAGGTGGTGCTGGAGCTAAGTCTTGAGAGAATAGAGGGATTCTGTGAGGTAGAAGGGTAGAGGAATTGTATCCCCCATATGTGAAATCACCAGATTATGAACAGCTCAGCTAATGTTTATCACTAGTCTCGAAACTATGTGATTCTTGGCACACTCTGCTTTCTTTTCTACCTATGGCCACCAAATCTGCAGAGGCTGAAGGAGTCTCCATAGTGTTCAGAAACAGTGCTAGACAGTGGCTTGAGCTCTGGAGATGGCTTTGATGGTGTTAGGAAGACCCGGGTTTGAATATCTTTTTATAAACTTACCAACAGCTCTATCACTGAGCATGTTCAGTAAGTTCTCTGAGCTTCAGTATCCTCATCCTTAAAATGGAGATAATGAAAGAAACTGTTTCACAAGATTGGGTAAGGATTAAGTGAGTTAATGCTCTTAAATCACTTAGTAAACGTTAAAGCTTTATATAAATGTGAGCTATAGTAAGGGAGCCATTTATATTTTTTCTTTCTTTTGTGGGTTCCCCCAGACAATGAATTCATCCCCAAGTGATGAGCTCTTTGCCCTGAGTTAAGCTGGACCTCAGAAAACCGAGGTAGTCCTCAATAACTCTAATAATATCAGGCAGTAAATAATCCTTTCCTTTCTGAATCAGGACTGGGCTATAGGGAGCCTGTGAAAGTTGGGTTGTATAGAATACCCTCCATTTACACTTTAATAACTTCATATACTGATCTGGCACTGATGAGAAATCCATTGCAGGAAAATAGCAACATCTGTTTCAATTATGAAGTAGAGCACACTCTTCTACAATCCCCTTGACTGTGCTGACTGGCTCCCCCATGAGGCAGCGGTGACCTCTCCTTCATAATTATTCACTAGCTAGATCACATTTTTATTATTGTTTAGCACTCTGAATGCCACTATACAAAATACTGCTTTCTTATAACTAAAGAGTAATTTATGAAAAATGAGAGAACAGCTTCACTCAAAAATAAGGTGACCATTTGTCAATCAGCAGAAGTTTTACAGATGTATTCATATTAATTTTCTGGCAGATCTGCCTCCTACAAATGATGTAAGAGAAACCATCTCAGTTAGTGACTAATTCTCTTGGAGCTTGGGAGTTCAGTGAACCAATAATGAGAGGATAGTGGTACCTTGTTAAAAACTTTGTAGGCTAGAGGGAGACATCCAGGTGCTACTCCATTTCTCTGGTTTTGTAAGTCATTTTTCTTACCTTTTTTTTATCCATGTGAAATCTGATGATTGGGTCTGAAAGAAGGGAGGGGCTAAAGAAATGAGTTGCAGGCTGAAGCAGCCTGTGTCACTTACTCTGTGTTAGACGGAACCCACTCGACACTAGGGTTTGTTCTGACAGCTACAGCAACAATGAGAAGAATTCCCAGGTAAGACAAACAATTCTGCAGATCCTTTTACTTCTTCCTCATTGCTGCAGACTAAAGAAGCCCAGCCGGAAACTGATATAAAATGGTATGACATATGTCAAAGAAACATCCTGATCGGAAATATGATCATTACAGATCACATGCAATTGGGCTGCATAGTCACCCCAAGCAGAAGAATCATAAATAATTTCTGCATAATTCAGGCTGGGGCAGCTGTTTTCTCAGGCTGGGTTGGGGCCTGCCACTGTGCTGTCAACAAATTATCTTACTAACTTTGCAGTTTGGATTCACTCACATAACATGGATTCCAGACGTATAAGCTAATAGGTACAGCCAGCCCCACACAAATCATCAGATTAATATCACAACCAAGTTGGTTTCCAGCCATTTTCGTGCTGCATAATTCATGTGTTGTGTACACCTTGACTTTATTATGATTCACACATACTTCAAGTCTATGGGTACACATAGGTACTGCTCTTCACCCATACCCATTCTGTGTAATTGGCCAAACCTCTGATCACCTATTACCAATCATATCCCCCAAATTTTATGTCATTCAAAGTTTTGTAACCTTCCCTGATCCCAACAAAAAATTATGATGCCTTCCTATGCCAAACATAACCCGGACACTAACAGAGGTTTTTTTTTTTTAATTCACATGGAGTGTATGTGATTATAGATATACATGCACAAACCCACATCTATACAAGGTAACAATTGATTTGGGGCTCAGCGAATAATGCATATTTGGTATGGGGGGGTTATATGTGCCCTTGTAGAATGTAGGACTCATAGAATTCTTGGGCAGAAATCAAGGATATCTAGTTCGCTTAAAATGATACATTTTAAAATGTGTATCATTTTGAAATGATACAACCAGCTGATCATCAGAAGAATCATTACATTTATTTAATAAACATATTATGCAGTTTGAAAATGGATATGGTATGGCTTCATTATATTAATCAATCAATAAATATTAAGTTTATATAATTGATGTGTGCCAGTATCTCAGAGGTAAGTAGATTTTACATTTAGAATCAGTGAAAAATAGTTTACATGGCTACAATCTTACAATTCTGTTCTATAATTCTAAAGTGATACAATTCTATGATTCATTGCTATGGTGTGCAAAGTAGAATCATAGAGTGTCAGACCTGGAAGGGATAGCCATAGCTTATCTATATTTTCCAGATGAAGAAACTGAGAGCTATTAAAGTTATATGATTTGGTGGAGCTCATGTAGCCATAACAAAACTGGACTAGACCCCAGTCTCTCAATTCTGAGACTAGTACATTTCCCATTGCACAATACATATTTATATATGCTTTTTTCCATTGTATAACAATATGTCAAACACATATTTATAAAATATATGGAGAGACAGAGGTACAGGAAGACGGAGTAGAGAGGCACATACACAGAATGAGGATGAATATATCTTATCACTGACCACCCCAGAGATTTACTCTACTTAACAGGTGGAACAGAAGATAAATGGATTAGCCAGGTGAATAGAACTGTATTAAAAAAGACTTTCTGAAAAAAATCAATCCTCCAGAGAAGATTTGGGAAAATAAAATATGGTCAGCTGTGTCAGAGAACTTCAATAAATCGATGACTTCAGGCCTGGTAAACAATTTGATATATAGCTCCCACAGTATCATCACTAGCTATAGTTCCTTCCATAATTGGACCATGGGATGAGTCAAAGCCAGAATGAAAAGCATTAAAAGTGATATTTCAAGGGAAAATTAATTTATTTGCTGACCAACAAAAACCAAAGTAATTTCAGAATTTTAAGGATGGCGCAGCACAGTAGTATTGCTATGCATGTTTTTTTTCCCCTCAAATTGGAAATGGAGTCTGGTTTGAAATACAAAATAGAACTCTTACCTCTTCTTTTGAAGAAGTGTTTTAACCTAGATATAGTCAGTCAATCATCAGAAGACCATCTGTACTTCAATTCCAGGTGAGCTGATCCAAGAGCATGAAGGTGTGGAGAACCTACCCTTGAAACCACACAAGAACAATCCCTGTGCTTCCAGGTAAAAGGCAATAAAATAATAAGGAAATTACTCAATGGGTTTTTTGCTTTTATTTTTGTTTTTGGATTTTTTTGCCTTCCTGGATTTCCCGTGCAAGGTAGTTGTTGTTCATCCTTCATTTTCAAAGAGGACCAATGATATCACAATGTGATGAGTCATGTCTTCACTTGTCATGAATTGGATTTAAACAAGGCAGAGTTTCACAAAGTTGTCAGCCTCACTCTCTCAGAATCATCAAAATCGAGTGGCAAGACAAAAATCAAGACAACTACTGATGGCTTGGGATGCAGTGGATGACCTTGGCTTCTTTAATGTCTAGATAACCAAGCTCACAGTACCTACTTCAGCCACCTTCATGGCTGTTGGAACAAATTGTTTTCATCTGTCTTTGGGGTGGAGGGGGTAGGAGTTGGGGGTTGGAGGGGGCAGTCTTTACATGCTTGGAGTAGACAATCTCAGTAGTAAGAAAAGTTACAAAGACAGAGCTACTGTGGTTATACTAAATCATCCTCTGAAGGATCAAACTCATCTCTGTGGCTGTAATAAAATTAAATTAAAGTTATGATTTATGGCATAGATAATAAGATAGTAAAAATTGTCAGAAGCTTAAGCTGACCAGTCAAAAGTGGAATAGGTGGTAGCCTGCATGATGTGATTTAAGAGAGTTGGAAAGGTGCCCCTAAACAAAGTGCCTAAAATTCTACCATTTATTGCAATGATTTAAACATTGCTTAATCTCCCCCCCCCCACTTCTATTTTAAAATGTTAATGCCCCTGAGAAGGAATACATGTCAAGCTACTGATACCTTATGTAGGATTGAGTTTATAGCATTGATGATAGGAGGGATTTGTGACAGTACTGGAGACAAATTAGGTACTATACAAGAGGAAGAGAGCAGAGAAATGAGAGAAGAGCAGGGCATCAAAGGCAATTTCTCTTGAAAAACAAATTGACAGAGCTATTCACTTATTGAACACTTGTCCTTAAAACTGGCCATGGACATAGTACAGAAAGGCATAAAATGCAGTGGCACATCCAGCGGGAAGTGTCTTTTCAGTGAGACGTAGAAGCAACAGAAATGGAGGAGCTAGAGACAAAAACGTCTTTAATTTCCTTCATCCTTCTCAGTAAACAAGATTTACCAGTTCATACCCCATGAATATGTCAGTCAGTCTGTCTGTGTATCTATCTCATATGCCTTAAATTTATCACTCCTCTGTTAGAAGTGGCTAGTATGTTTCCAGATTGTTCCTCCAAAACCACCACGGATGTTCATTTTATTGATCATAGTTCTTATAGCTTTCAAAATTATTTGTCTTTACAGTATTGTTTGTTATGGTCCTGCTCATTTCATTCTTCATTAGCTTATAAAATCTTCAATTATTTTTATAATATTGATGTTATGGTCTAGATTATTCTTTTGTTTCTACTTATTTAACTCTGTATGAGTTCATATAAATCTTTTGATGTTTCTTTGAAATGGTCAATTTTCTTCCATGAAATTTTTCCTGTTGTCTTTTGATGACTTAATATTTCTAAGAAAACTATAAACTTAATCATATTGATAAAATAAAAATCATTATTATTCAATAGATACAGAACAAGCTTCTGACAAAATACAACTCTGATTTCTGTTTGAAACACTAGAAAACCTAAGGAACGTATGGACATTTACTTAAAATGATAAATACTGTATGTCTAAAACTAAGAACTACCATTGTATATAATAAACTAGCATCTTTTCTAATAAAATCAGGGTGAAATGGGAATACCCATTGTTGCTTTTTCTCTTTGACATAGTACTAGTAATGTTGGCTATCACAAACACTAGAAAAAGAAATTGAGGGAATAAGCATAGGTAAGGAAGTAAAATTTTCACTTTTTGCAGAGATGATGCTATACTTAAATAATCCTGAAGGGTCAACTAAAAAAAATGAAATAATTGCAGAAAACTTGCAGAGTATGAAATAAATCCATAAAAATCATCAGTATTTCTATATGATGCCAATAAAACCCAGCAGGAAGAGATAAGAGAAATTCCATTTAAAATAACTATAGAATATATAAAATATTTTGGGGTCTATCTACCAAGATACACACAAAAACTGCATATATAACTATAAACCATTGTTTACAGAAATTAAGACAGACCTAAATAATTGGAAAAAAATTAATTGCTTATGGGTAAAATGAATCAACATAATAAAAATGACAATACTACCTAAATTAACTTACTAATTCAGTGACATACCAATCACTCTACCAAAGGCTTACTTTATAGAACTAGAAAAAATAAAAACAAAATTTATATGGCAGAATCATATGAAGAATATCATATCATATTAAGAATCTCAAGGAAAACAATGAAAATAAGTGGGAATGAAGGGTGCCTAGTAGTGCCATATCTAGAACTTTCACTATTTTCCTTCAGAAGCTAATTCTCTCTAGCTGAACTCCCAGATAGCTCTTCTTCAGACAGGACAACTGGTCTTCAAGGCTTAATCCACAGACACTACTTTCTTATCCACCAACTGCTCATTTTGGGGAAGGCCTATGTTTTCTAGGTCTCCCGAGTTTCTAACCAGGTTTTTACTCTGGCCAACTCTTAAGGGGATGTGGTTCTCTATCTAACCACAGCCGTTATCTTTAGATCAGGGGTTCTTAACCTTTGTGTCTGTTGTGGACCCTTTTAGCAGTCTTATGGAATCTATGGTCTCCTTTGCAGAGTGATGTTTAGTTTTGTTTTGTTTTGCTAGGCAATGGGATTAAGTGACTTGCCCAGGGTCTCTCACAGCTTGTTAGTGTTATGTGTCTGAGGCCAGATTTGAACTCAGGTCCTCCTGACTCTAGGGCTGGTGCTGTATCCACTACGCCACCTAGCTGCCCCACAGAGTGATGTTTTTGAATGCATAAAATAAAATACATAGGATTGCAAAGGAAATGAATCATTGAAATAAAGATGTCACTCTTTTCCCATTTCAAGTTAACAGACCCCCTGAAATCTACCCATGGAAGCCTATTAAGAACCTCTGATCTAGAGATCTATGGAGATGTGACTTAACACTTGCTTCTCCGTATGATGTAGCCCCTGCTTCCTCAGGAACCACAGCTATGGAAGACTTGGAAAAGAAAAGTTCTCAGCACCCAAATCCTCAGTGCTGTCAGATGACTCAATATCAGTAGAAATGCCATACAAGAAGAGGCATTACCATCTAGTTTGATGCTGAGCTCTAAGGACCATGGGACCTTTTCATCAGTCTTGCAACTGAAACCTTTGATCTGTATCTTCTACCTTTAGTTAGGAAGTAAGCTACTTGAGAATTACAGGTTATCTCAGCTTTTCTATTATGTATTTTCTATTATGCTTTTTCATTCATTAATTCATCACAACTGATTTACCCATTTTTACAGTCCAGGTAGACTCAGGCATGCTGGGGAGTCCTGTCTGGCATATTTGTATCTAATGGATTCAGGAGGATTGATTAAATGATTTCTTGTCCCTTGCGGTTCTAGTTTTCCATGATCCTATGGAAAGGGCATCTGCATATTGCACCATGAATAGCAGTACCAATGATTTAGGCAGTAAAGAGCAGGTATGCCAAGCAAGGAAGTGAAAAGTGAGACTGGAAGAAGGGACTCTCTGTTATCTAATATCTCCAGTGCTATGCAGGAATCATTCTTCACCTACCACAGCAACCACAGCCGCATTAGCCCTCCGAACAGATATTACATTTCATAAAGCCAAATCAGCCCCCATGACAAAGTGCGTGCACTTAGAATTAAGGCCTTTTTAATACCAGAGATTAGAGAGGATCAACAGAACTGAGAAGGAGGAGGAATCTAACTATCCTTTTGCTCAGACTCCACTGCTTGCAGTGAATCCCGGGGATTGGTCCTTGTGCTCATGTTAAAGTTGAATTTAGGAAGCAGAGCCCATCCAAGAGTTTGTCCAGGCTGGGCCAGCCCAGAAGGAGCTCATGGCATCCCAGGAGTTAGTTCCTCCCCATTAACATTTAAAACCTTGCTTGTAACCAAGTATTTCAGATTGAATGTTTGACCACAGCTTCATGGTCTTTTTCTATCGAAACAGAACTCTATTAAATCACAAGGCCAATTAGGTGGCACAGTGGATATAGAGCACCTGCCTGGAATCAGGAAGACCTGAGTTCAAATGTGGCCTCAGATACTTACTAGCTGTGGGATCCTGGGCAAATCACTTAACCTATTTGCCTCAGTTTCCTCATCTGTAAAATGAGCTAGAGAAGGAAATGGCAAACCCCTCCAGTATATTTGCCAAGAAAACCCCAAATGGAATCACAAAGAGTTGGACATGACTAAAAAATGACTGAATAATAACAACATTAAATAGCAAAGCATTAGAAGCAACTCAGATCATTATTAAATATAACAAGTGCTATACAGAAATACATGGTATTTTCTCCAGAACTATATAGACCACATCTTTGGCAGATCCTTGCCCTTTAGACTTTTCATTGAGGGTGCTCTCTACATCCAGCCCAGAGAAGGTCTCCAGGCTGAACATGATAACCAAGCCTCCTCAGGACCTTGCCTGTTCAGAATGGTGACAGTGCAGGCCAGAGGAATGATAACAAAGTCTGACTCTATCCACTGGACTCTCTGTTGCCCCAACTTTGAAAGGATGAGAGTGAGCCAGATTTCTCTGGGGACTGGCATCTACCATACATCTGCCTTGGCCAAACATCTGGTTGACCACCTCTCTCCTGGTCAGACCTAGGTCCACCTCTGGTGATGTTAGAGATTCCCTAGGAAGAGGCCTCTGCTGCCAACGGAGAAGCAGCAGCCAGGCTGGGCTCTGCCACTTCCAGGAAATGATGCTTCACACTAAGCCGCCCTAGGGCTTCTCCTCTGCATCAACAGCCCCTTTCTCTCTGTACCTGCATCACGGTGTCCAGCCGATATCAAGATGATTAGGAAGTACTAAGCCTGCACATTTTCTATACCACAAAAAATAATAACAGGTAGACCCTTTGATTTCTAGGGAAATAAGAACTCTTTGCTGCATTTCCTGTCAGGCTGGCCCTTTGAACAAGCTCACTCCATAATTTAGAGTTTGAATCTCGCCTTAAATGGCAGTTAAAAATTGCATGTGGCAGTTCACAATGAAATTTAGCTTGACAGCTTGGACATAAAACTAAAAATAAATGACTTCACATCCAAATAATAAGTAATAACAATGTTAGCCTGCATAAGAATAGCAGGGCTGGATTCAAATACAATATTAATTTTAGGAATATGAGTGACTAGGGAGAGACAGAGGCAAAGAAACAAATCCTTCATATAGCAATAGTCTCCTCTTATCCCCCAGGCAACTGGCTGCCTTTCACCTCGGCGGCTCGGC